ACATAGGTGTATAATATTTGGATCCACACACTTAATTCATGAGATTCGAAGGCAAACGATCTACCTTGTTTAGCCAACATCTTTTTGAAGCAAGTAATTTCCTCCGGCAATAAAGAACCATCAGAACCAATCTTCAATTCTTCAAAAGTCTCTTCAGTAAACTGATGTCCAATACTCATTGGATCTCTTAAACTTGCTTCTTTTGATGCTTCTCCCATTTGTTCTTTAGAATCCTCTGGTAATGGTCCGGCAACAGGCTTTACCTTCTTATCTGCCGTTTTATATCTCGTCTCTACTGTGACTTCTAGTGCTTGAAAAGATTCAAGCATGGTATAAACCTCTCTCGAATGAATCTCAACAATCTTATCATTATCCCCTAACCCAATAGATGTAATCAATTCCAATGAATCTTCCAGTCCATTTTCTTCATAAACACCCAAAATCCTCTCATCATCTTGCAATGTACCTATCTTGCGTAACTGTCCTTCAATATCATATAATCTTTTTCTTTCTTTTCTTTTAAAATCATCAACTTTCTTATACATAATATTTCCATTCTCCAATATACCAATAAAACTCGCATCAAAGGCACCTTCATCTCGCGAGAGTACCTCCTCTTTTGTACCTCCATAATCTCGCTTTACAGTGGTACCTCCCCAAAATCCTTAAATCCTTCAACAATCTTTGGCAATGGTTTCTCCCTCAACCTATCTCGATTCCGTTCATGGTTAGGAGGTACTGTTAGAAATTGTACAGCTTTCCTCCCATCTTCGCTCCGTACCCTTGCATAAGCAGAACCATCGTCAAGTACCTTTGTTTCCATCCGTGTTGCCGTGATATAAGGTTGTCCTAAAATCAACGGATAAGACGTTGTATCTTGAACGAAGAAATGTTGCTCCGTAGCAACATCCCCAATCCGAATTTTGACATCTGGACAAGCTCCATATAATTCGCCTCGTGTGTTATTAGCTGCTCGTATTGCCCATCCATGTTCCATATCAATTGGCCATTTTTGCTTCTTATAAAGATCTTTAGACATGAGATTTATTTCAGAACCATGGTCCACCAAGGCAACTATTGGTTCTTCTATATCTCCTACCTTCACCAATACCTCGGTAGTTGCCCTTGCCCAATGCTTTCGAGTATAATGGCTCAAAGTTTCCATTTCCTTGTCACTAGAATCTTCGAAATGTACTCGCTGATTATACCCATTCTTTTCATTTGTTGGTTACTTGTAACCAATATCAACCCCTTCTTCATCTCTACATATTCTTGCATCAATAGCATGACTCATTCCAGTTTCGCTCATTAATTGCCTCTTTCGCTTAATGCTGTCAATGATAACATCATGAAACTCCTTCTTTACAATTTCCAAGACTTCTTTCAATGTGAATTCCACCTTAGCGTTTAATATACGTTCTTCCAACACCCCTTTCAAATTTGTTGCCGCTTCAATGTCAGAAAGTAGCTTATAAGCAATTGATTTGCCCTTATCTTTTGTCTCCGTTGTTATTTCTCCCAATGATGCTGAGGTATCCTTTACAGGCAATTCTTGTGAAGCTGCCTCCCGAGCCTTGTCTCCTCGAGTTTGCCTCTTAAAAGAATTTCCTTCTCTAGTATCATCAAAATTTCCTCGTCTTTTTTCTTCCATCAAAGCTTCATCTTGGCTCTTAGCAATATATGCATGAACTGAAAGAGACTCAACAGGATCCTCCCAACCTGTTCTTCCTCGTATTGTAGCTGCAGTTCTCAATAACGCTTCTCGAGGTAATTTCCCTTCTTGCAATGTAGAAACGGCAGAAGCCCAAAACTCACTAGTTTCCGTACTTCCACCAATTTCATCATCTACTCTAGCACCATAACTTGCACTTTCTCGTACTACTGTTTCATGCTCTTTTAAGTAATCTTGAACCAATGCTCTCATTCTTCCCTTGCCAAAATTGGTTTGAAGAAGATCCTCCCTATCTTTCAATGCTATCTTCCCATCTTTCCAGCAAATAATTCCCTGCCGTATCATATTATTAAATTCATTGCAATCTTTTCTAGTGTGTGAAGCATCATCACACCAAATGCATCTTTGTACATATCCTTGTTTTGAAACATTCTTCGAATTGTTTATAGAAGTATTCTCTTCAAGTCTTGCTAATTTGATTTGAAGATCTCGCATTCCTCGTATAATTTCTTCCATACCCATATCTGCTTTCTTTGACAAGGATGTCGAAGGTTGAACTGTAGGCATTGTCGGTGGTGTTGTACGTACTGGAGCTTTGGGTGCTTGTACTGTTTTCGAAATATTGCTCCTATCCTTCCTCCTTTCTTTTTTTGTAAGCAACCCCACCGCATCTTCAACGTTCTTCCACTTCGTTGTCAATCCTTCATCTTCTTCTTTGTCTCCAAGAAGGGGTTCTAATTTCTCTTGCAATTCTCCATCAGCAGCTTGAAGAAATAGATCAACTTTGTTCGGCTCCAATGTCAATTTTTCTACCTTCGATAATTGAGAGTACTGCCTCTCAAATTCCCTTAGTAGCTCTGTTGCTTGCAAATTCTTATTGGGCCGTTCAATCCATCCCAGAAACAGCTTCTTAGTAACGCGATCAGCATCTTCCAAGAAATATTCGTCTTTCAATGCATGTGAAAAACCTCCCATGAATTCCCACAACGATCCGTAATCGATGTAATGTGGTCCCTTATCTCCGGTATCGTGGCAAGTCCAAATAGTGCAACCATTTTCTTCTCAGAAACCCGATTTAATTCCATTTCACGAACATAACATCTTAAATACCTTGAAATATTCCTCCCATCAAATTGATCAATTTTATTGACCACTGCTTGCAATGCTTTGGTTGCCAAAGCTTCCTTTCGATCATTGCTTTGCTGTTGCTGCATTGACAATGAGAAGGCTTGAAACAAACTAGCAATAGACGGATCCATGTGCATACCTTGTCCTTTAGAAGACTCCCCACCAGAAACTTCTCCCAAAAATCCTTCAAAATTTTTATTTTCGTTTTCCATAAAAATAAAGATAAAATCAACCGAAATCCAATACCTTCTACCTCAAGCTTTCACGTCGGGTTCACCACTTATGTCGTATTACGTGCTTTCCTGCTCGAGAATGCGCCGGGCGTCTGGCTGTAGAAGGTAGTATGGAGATTCACCGATAGTCAAGCAGTCTATCAGTTTTTGACTGCTAGAATATAAACGATTGCAACAATGTACCGTAAATCTATACGGGTGCTCTTCGACTGCTTGTCGAAGTCCTTTTTGCCCCAGCCGGTAGGTCTCTAGACGTTACAGAGAACCCCGTACAACCCAAACTGTTAACCTTCAATACTGCTTTGTACTTACGATCTTGTATCCATTGACTGTCTTGTTAGATTAACCCAATAAATTTCATTCACTCCGCATACTCAATCCTATAGACACCCTTTTAATCCTTCAATCACAGACGTAACTCGATTTCACAAAACAGTCAAGAGTATTCAAACCCACTTCATTTAAAAATCCCGATTCACCATTACAACACTGACTTCAGCAGCGATTGCCTCAGTCTTCCCAAAAACTCTACGAAGAAGAAAAATCCAAATTCTATGTCTTTCCTTCCCCGACCCGAAGCATGAAGCTCCTCTCTCTAATTCCCTTGATCTTCAAAAAAACCTCCAATGAAAACCGAACTGGTAACCTTGCAAAAACTTGAAAACTCCCTCCCCCCCCCCCCCGATTTCCCCTCAAAAAAAACCCTCACCACTCCAAAACTATATCCCCCCCTAACCTTATCCTCTGAATTTCTTCAATCTTCCGTCTTAGATCCAGAATTGGCTCCCACCTCAAGCTTGGATCCGAAATTGGCTCTCACCTCAACTTGGATTCGAAATTGGCTCTCGCCGCCAAGCTTTCTCCTCCGTTTTTACCTTTAAGAAATCCATTTATCGAAAACAACGTTCCCTGAGACGGCACAGAGAACAGGACAGCCTGAAATAGAATCGAACCCCGTAATCGGGACCACATTGAGTCGCCCGACCAATTCAGGTCCTATATTGGTAAAGATGCCCGTAGTAACCTGGATGTTCCCGTAATTGGGTCAAATTGGTCTTCGCGTCAGATTGGCTAAGACCCGTAGTAAGATCTGGATTTCCCGTAACTAGACTGCATTGGGTTGCCCCACCAATACAGGTCTCATATTGGGTAAGAGGACCCGGATTGGATTATCGAAATTGGATCCAATTGGCTCCTCGAACCCGTCGTGTGAATTGGTCCTTCTCTTCTTGCTGACTCCCGTTATTGAAATCGAATGGAGCATTTCAGTATGCCCCGGCTGACTATAACGGAGTGACTGAACCTGACCACTCAATATTTGTACTCGAGTTGATCGATGCTCCCAATATTCAAGGTAACTGAATATTAATAAAATTCCCCTTTCTTTTTATTTTCACTGTATACTCGTGTTACAACACGACAACGGTCGATTGTAATCTGTTGAATTCTTGTGGTAACCTGTCGCAGGCAGTTCTCAACACTGTTTTCTGTTACACAATACAAACATGCTCATTAAGATTCTCACCTTTTAGTTCCAGAGGATTGTGAGATATTAGATGGCTGAGTAGATTTCGGCTTTGTGAGGATTTGCTGCAGAGCTGGGTCTTGTCTGAATGGCAAGAACAGATCCATAACGCAATGACTCAACAGCAAAATTCTCCGAGATGCGAATCAAGACGAAATCACTTGCACGATACAATTGTGTGCAACAAACAAGATAAACTCTTCAGTCCACTACATTTTCTGTTCCATGAAGCATTGCAATACAGTTGAACAAAGAATTACAGGCTCACTGAAACACAATTACCAAGACAAGCAAGAAAATATAAAAGCGTAGTTTGAGTTTGTCTTTAAAGCATGTCCCTAGTGACGAAACTACATCGAGGCAAGTACATTTCTTTAAATTAATAAATATATTATACAAATCGTAATATATGCTGACGCTCACGCTATACACTCCAAAATTGATGACGTTACTCACCTAATCTTAGGATTTAATCCTGGTATCACATGAAATCGCTCTAAATCGATTAGCAAACTTTGTACATTTGATTGTGGTCCCAAGGAGAGCTGCATTTGCAACCCTAATTCTACGTCCACCAACAACGCGGTCGGCAGAGAATCCTCGGAAAAAAAAAAAAAAAAAACGTCACGGCGAGCTTAGAAGCTCGGATGCATTGAGTAAGCGGCTTGTCCCCTCCAATGGTCGTGGGATCTATGAAGCAACAGCTCAGCAATGCAGTTGATGCACGGCAGTTATCCCTGACATTTTACTTCATACAGTGACGGGTTGGTTACGATTAAACAAATTGCTCGATCAGGAATTAGATCTCGGCTCGTTTAGATGACAGTTCCGTTCTGAATTACGGCGTTCTTGCATATCACTGTGATACCAGAGCGAATGTAAAAACCTTCATCCGGTCGCGCAGCTTCGAATACATTCTGCACAGAAACGAATTTAGAAATTAGGGGTTGCACGTAACAAAACTCGAGATCTGTGACGAGCTTGAAAGCTTTTAGACAGGAACGGACAAGGAAATTGGAATTAGTGTGCTTACATCAGTGTTAGCAATAACGACATTGCTGCCGATCCGAGCATTCTTGTCGACAATGCAGTTCCTGAGCTTGGTGTTGGCGCCAATGCCCAGAGGCACTTTTCCTTCTTCTTGCAATGCAGAGGCTTCAGGATCAGTTTCGTAGAAATCGGCACCCATGATCATAGCCCTCTTCACGTCACACCCAGACTCAAGCCGAGACCGGATACCGATAACCGAATTCTCAACGCTGCAATCTCTCAAGAAACATCCGTGGGATACAATCGAATCCTTCACTCTGCACCTCTCGATCTTGGTTGGGGGCAGGTAACGTGCAGAGGTGTAGGTCGGTTTCGCAGCGTCGTAGAAGCTAAATTTGGAGTCCGGCGATGTTAGCGCCAAATTGGCGTCGAAAAAGGACTTGATAGTTCCAATGTCTTCCCAGTAGTCATTGAAAAGGTAAGCGTGGACATAAAATTCCTTCGCTGCCTGGGGGATAATCTCGGAACCAAAGTCATTGGCAAGTGGGTACCGCCACTTGAGAAGCTTGGAGAGTACACTCTTCTTGAACACGTAGATGCCCATGGATGCAATGTATGGCTTCTTCTTCGCTTCATCGGGGGACAGACCCAACACTGTGGTGTCCACTTGCTACACAATCAACCGACGCAATAGCGTCAGCAGCAATTGAATACATATTTCCCATTATATTACAAAATTTATAAACTATGTTCAGAGAAGTAGTTGAGAAGAGGATTGCTCACCATGGACTGCAATTCATCACCCTTCGGCTTCTCGTTGAAGTAGTGGATTCTACCCTTGTCGTTAATCTTCATCAGTCCGTAATCAGAGGCCCGGCTATCGTCCATTGGTACACAAGAAACGGTAATATCAGCTCCAGAGTCTTTGTGCTTCTGCACGAAATCTTCATAATCCATGCGGTAGAGGTGATCACCAGATAGAATCACCACTTCCTCTACGTCCTTGTTCTTGGCGTCCTCCAACAACCACAGGTATTGTCTCACGGCGTCCGCAGTGCCTCCAAACCACTTGTCACCACCGAATCCAGGCCTCTGTGCGGCAGCCAAAACCTCCACGTATCCGTCTCCAAAGCTGCTGCCATTTCCAAGGTTGTATGTGCGAGAAAGGTGGCGATTGAGCGAGGTGGAATTGAACTGCGTAAGAACGTAGATCTTGTTGATTCCGCTGTTGATGCAGTTGCTCATCGGCACATCAATCAGTCGGTAGGCGCCGCCGAGCGGCACCTAATTACAGATACAAACTCAATTGATCAGTTGGGTCCCATCACAGAGAAATTGTGAACAAGCCCTCTACTACAGATCTCAATTCGCACCAAAAGGTGTTACATTTTCAGCCAGCCGTTAATTAAACCCTTAGTAAAGTTTCAAGTGTTAAAATTTAAGTAACCCATGTGCGACTCAGCTAAAACGATCGAGATGGAGAGAGCGTTGCTAACCGCTGGCTTGGCACGGCGGAGAGTAAGGGGGTTGAGGCGGGTGCCGGCGCCTCCACCCAGAATGATAGAAAACACTTTCTTCATGTTCACTTGCGACTTCGGAGTCTTTACCTCTCTCTCCCGAGTTATTTGCTCTTGCTGGAACTAAAACAAACACCCAAGTCAAGATCAGATTGTCATCATTTGATCTCACGAAGATTTCGATCGGCCCCTGGATAGACGTACAGAAACTGAACTGACTCCGGCGATTTTTCACCGTAAGACGGACTCGTCGATTACAACGTTCATGCTGTAAAACGAAATTCACCAATCTGGGACTGATTTTACAGCCGCAAATGCAATCGCGGAAGCAAACTAGTGAAAATGAATTCAAAGTTGCAAGCTTACGCAGCAGAGTGTAATTACCAGAGTCTCAATAGGACGTTCGGCCAAGACAGCTGAGACACTGAGTGTGTTGGACTTGGATCTGGCGGCGGTAGCGGGTCTGGGGCAAGTATTACCCCTGAGACGCAAACTGTTAACACCAGGAGCAAGGAAACCTGCTGAAGAAAGCTTTCCACGCCCCTTGAATCCAGACCGCAAGCAGGAGTCAACACCCCAAAATGCTTCCTGGCGAGACGGCCTCGTCAAGGTGCAGTAACTTGTGGAGGCGATAATTCCGGTTGCAGCCATTGCAGCAAGTTACTCTACCTTCAGTCTTCGCAAGATCTGCGAATCGGATTACAGGCTGACCTCAATGACACTCGACCTGCATAACAAAACGACAAGCATTGATTCAGAATCCTCCCGTTGGCCTCGATTGGCGATTCCACATCTAGATGTGGAATCTTCCAACATAAAAACCATTTCCTGCAACCGCTAAAAAACCTGAGGACACATTCTTCGCCCTGATCCGATCTCTCATGTATGATCACAGAATGTATGCAGAAAACCATTCATGTCGACTCAATCTAGAAGATCACAGTTGCCTCTGATCGGCAATGCCACGGTGGTGTTCAATCAAGACAAAGAATGCGAAAGCATTACGAGATCCGCTAAGCAGGATGACCAAACCTCCAGAACCGGCACAACGACGCCGTCAACAAGCTCAAGGAGGCCCATGAGTCGCAACAAACACTTAAACCTTTGCGATTCCTCCAGAGCACATACCTTCGCAACTGAAGAGCCACTGAGAAAGACAACAGCACTTCACACTGTGCTGGCGGTGCAACTCTAACGATCGATCAGCAAACTTAAGTAATGTCAATCTCCTTCCCCTACTTCCTCTCTCACTCTCTCACTCTCTCTCTCCCCTCCCTAACGAAGTCAGTTGATGCGGATGGCAATGCAGCACATCTCAGTCTCTAATTCCCTTTCTAGTAGTCGGCTGCACTGGAATTCAGTGCTGGACGAATATCTCCGGTTCGTAAGAGCTGCTTCAGTTCTGTTCTATTAATACCCAGGTACAGTCAAGAGCAAGTGTGTAAGCGAGCGCAGCCCCTTAGTGGATGATCATCACCCAATTGGGATCCCCTTTTCTCAGCAAACCTCCAAAACCCACCTCTCTCCACGCCCCCTCAAAATTCACGAATGGGGTTTTATATTGCGAGACTATTTTCCACCGTGAGATTTTTCCACACAACTGTCCTTCCACTTTCCCCCCGAATATTTGCCCCATCTTCACTCGCCTGCCACCTCTCCACTCTCAACCTACCGCTCTTCCTTCCTTTCTTCCCCGCTCGTTTACTCATTGCCAGTAACTACGGAGCAATATCATTCATTCTCATAAAACAAATGCGACTAATTCCGAAACCACGATGTCGAAGAAGATACACTGTGACGCGTTGCCAGAAACCCTCCCACTTTGCGTAATCTTTCATGTATTTTCCTGATTTTAGTTGAGAGCGTGGCGACGGTTTGATGTCCATCAGATTCGAGGTAAAAATAAAAACATCCAGAGCTCGAGATTTTTACACGATTTCTGGTGGCATGGAATGGCGCAGAGGTGGGGCCTGGAAAGAGGCTGCGAAAGGCCTTTTCACCATCCTGCCTCTTGCGCAAAATGGCTGGGGGGTCAGATCTTTACAGTCTCGTGTGGATGAATGGAATGCAGCACGAAGTTTATTTGGATGCATTTACGTTTGGTAGATGATTGTTTGGCAGCAGTTGAGATCCGGGCAGGTGGTGTCCATTCAGCAGCGTGGCATTCCGAGCAGACGGCAAAATTTTAAACGGTGTCAGAGAGACCAAGTGCACGACTCTGTTTTATTGTGAAAAGACACAAGAGCTGTTCTCATTAGCACGCTTCGGCGAAACTGGGCCCAAAAGCCCTAATCACACGGAGAATGGGTGTTATTTTAAAAACGGCAATAGGGGTTTTAATAAAGAGGGGCTTGGGAGATTGGGATTAATGCAAACAACCCATGACCAGAACAATGGTGAATATCAATATTTTCCCGGTTTTCAGCTCCCCCTTCTAATGTTGGCCCTGCTTCGACCTAGCGCCGCCACACGTGCACGATTCACGGTTGCATACACGCTAAGCCACATTTAGCTTCTGCAAAATCCTTGTATCGACGCTCGATTGATGAATAGATGAATATCAAATCCCACGATCCAATATGGATGAAGTTGTGTCATCCATCCGTTGTGTGAAGTATGAGCATTCACCCATGCTGCAAAGCGCTGCTGACTTGGCAGCGGGCAGAGCTGGTGGAGCCCACTGGGGTTCAGCCAGGTGGGACGCCAAGTGGGATCGGCGTGGTACACGTCGGACGGGGTTGTAATTGAGGGACGTGTCTAGGCATGGGCTCACAGTGATCGTGAGATCGAAACCGACCAATTACAACTCCGGGTCCCAAATAAAGGCATGAATATGGGAACAGAGCGGGGAAGGCCTGATCTCACCCATCCAAATCTGGGCTTGAACCAATGACTTGCACCAAAGCAACATGGTGCGTTTTAAATAATTGACAACACTTAATTCTCAAGTGACCTTTAATTACCATGTTGTACCAAATGGGTTAGTGCTTTAAAATCCCAGACGTGGGATTTTGATCTTGTCTATTATAGAAAAAATAGCAAAATGGTAACCTTGTTGATTCAATTCTACAATACTATGATGATCATTGAGGAAAGGTTCAAGAAACAAGTTTGTGTTGATTTAATTAAAAGTTTCCGTGTAAAAAATGGCTCTTTAGCAGTCATTGTTCATATGTGTGATAATAAAAATATTTAGATGGCGTGGCAATCGCTTTTCTAAATACACTCTTTCCACCATGTTGCGTGTATATATATATATATATATATATATATATTCTCTTGTTTTCTGTTTTACATATTTTATTATTCACAGTCAATGAGATTGCTTTACACATGAAAATCAAAAAATTGTAACTGAATATAGTCACTTTTTAAATTGAAGTATGACTCAACGTTCAAGCATGTTCATTGAAATGTACTTTGTATTTTATTTTTCAAATCACCAAATCACAAGCTGCAAAATGAAATATTTGTTGCAAACAATTCTGAACGTTCAGTGAAAAAAATTTAGGTTTGTGTTTTAGTTTGTTCTACATGATAAAGAAGGCTTATATATATATATATATATATACATATGTGTGTGTGTGTTTAATGATTTTGTAAATTAGTCAATAATCAAGTCATGTCAAAAATATCTTTATATGTTCAAATTTTAAGAACATGCCATTGGTCACTACTTCAATTAGAAAAAAATAAAAAGTGCTTTAATGAAAACATTGCTATAATTTTTTAACACATTCAATAGAAATAAAAATTTGATATTGGATGATTGAAGATCTAATTATGAGAGCATTCTTAAATATTTAAACTCTTCAAAATCAATTGAAAAAACAAAATATTAACACTAAAAAGATGCTGGAGACTTTTGGATTGAGGAATGACTTCTTCAGACGTGGAAAATTATTACATTAAAAAAAAAAAAAAAAAAAAAAACCCAAAAACCCAAAAACCCAAAAACCCCAAAAACTAAAAGTAAAAGTAATTTTGAACCATGAATAATTTAGAGATATAGTTGTTGAAACTAATAATAATTCACTTGCATTCAAGTTATATATATATATATATATATATATATATATATATAATACATACAAACATACTATCCCAAACATCGATACATATGACATTTATTCAATCACACATTAGAAGCATGAAAATGAATAAAGAATGAAGAATGAAATTCAAGTATACAATATAATGTATAGTTGTTATTGTGAATGATTGTATATAAAACTAATACATGAAATTCATAAAATAAATATCATCATCTCGTTTTTATATTATTTTTATATTTTATGGTTTACTACACAGTGCCATATTCAGTATAAAAAATATAAATATTGTCACTTTTCAGTCTAGAAGCATGATTTGTTTTTAAAACAGTGTTTTACAATGTTACAAATTGTTACTTGGATTTTACATGAAGATACTTTAAAAAAAACATGTGTATCCTTAGTTTTATTAATCAGCACATAAAATTATTCTAAAAATTAAAATAACGCCCAACATGGCTTAACTGAAGGAACATTATATGGTGTTAAGTGATTTAAAGTTACACTTACATTCTAATTATAGGTCAAATTATTATTATTATTGTTTTCTGTTTTTTTAAGGTTTGAACTTACTATTAAAGTGTTATTTTAATAACTTATTACAGACTTTTTGGTTCAGTAGTATTTCATTGAAACACAAAACTTTGTGCTGCAAAGACAGGTTTAAAGGATTGATTCTATTTCTTTATTAAACACTTAGTTGCAATATTAGGTGTACATTTTTCTATTTGATAGAAAGATTGGACTTGGACATTATTGACACTGTGACAAAACTCTAAAAACTTTTTTCAAGAATATTCAATTTTGTGCATTAATGTTTCTTTAAAAACACATCAAAACTATAGTCTTTCGACAAGTCAATTTGAATGTATATCTTCAACTCAATATACATCATATTATATCTTCAAAGAGTTTATATTTTATTATGTCTTAAGTAGAAACTGAATACAATAAATTTTGTTTCATGAGACACAAAAAGAATACAAATATTATGTTCTTTTCACTTTAAAATACATAAATTTTGACAAGTAATAAATTAACTAGAACATATAAGTATGAGATTATTAAATTGTCATATTTGGACAAACTCTTAATGATAATGTGCCAAATTCCTTTGACATAATAATTAACCATTCAACTTCATATAAATTCATACTAATAAATCCTAATAATACCATGAATATTGTAGAATTTAAAAGAATTCAAAATGATATTTGACATTTTATAGTGTTTAGTATTTACACAATATACATACAGATACATATCTTTAAAATTAATTTCAAGGTATTTCTAAAAATATTTATATAAAAATTTTAAAATGGCCTAAAACAAAAAGATATCTAACCATCAAAATTTTAACTATGGTTAATTTTTTTGTTTTAAATTCACTTGTTTATATTCTTCACAATCCAATCAAAACATTTTGATGTCTAAAAAAAATAAAAACCTTATCAAGGAAGTAATTGTGATATATATATATATATATATATATATATTTTTGATTGAGTCGAATCTAATTTTTATATCACAATATTTGATTATAATTCCTATATCCATGTATGTAAATGTGAGAATATATATATATATATATATATATATATGTACCATACAAAAATTTGTTTGTGAATTTTAAAAAAATTTTAATTTAGTGAAATTTAAAAATGCATTCTTTAATAGAAATTATACTAACATCGAAAGTTTTGCTACAGATGTCACAAAAAAATATATAATTTGCATATACAATAGCTTTTAGTTAAATATGTAGAAAAGAAAGTACCCATTAAGCATAGTGTAATATCCAGCACGACTGTTCAAAAGACCATGTACATGCACTCTGTTTACATTACTGCAAATGAAAGAACCCTGAATCTTTAGTTGGGGACGCTTCTTTTCATCTCAATTTTAGTCACCAGAAAGCAAAATGTAACACAAAATCACGAAATTAGTGTGTTATTAAAACACAATTAAAATCTCGACACAAACAATGGCGACGTCGGACGAATGAAATTAGGGCTTGGCGGCGGAGGGGGCAGCAGCAAATACTCCATCGAAGTCCCACATTGTGCCACCTGCCATTTAGGAAATAGTGCCAAGGTGGCGCTCCAATCCAAGCTGGCATATCCCCATCCTACCCCCACGAACAAGCGCGATTTTCCCGCCGCCACCTTGTCATTCCCCTCCAGCCCAATCACAGGGCCACGTTGGATGTGAATGCTTACCAGATGAATTTCTAATAACAATTGAAGAGGCGGCACTGCTTTAGCAGCAGCCCTAATCAAAGCCCCCCCCCCCCCTCCCACTCCCCCCTCCCTATGACCCCCCCAATTTGAGCCCCAGCTCAAGAAGAATAGCGCCACCTACATCAATTAATTTATTCTGAATGGTATCAGGTGATGTTTTATGCTCTGATTCGTCTTCTCTTGCATTTAATTCTGAGCAAAACATTGCTAGAATCACCCAGACCTTTTTCCCGCCGTATTTCCACGTGGCCGATTTTCCACTTCATCTCCCTCTAACTGGATGGGATCCCTTGAAATGATCGGTATACGTCATAATATATCTGCTGGAATCAGTGCCACGTGGACTAATTAATATTGGTATTAAGTGCTGCATATG